TTGACTCGTCTGTCAGCTGGGAGAGCCAAGACTTTCCACTTGCTCCTGGCCTTTCTTTACTGGGATAACTGCGACCCCTAGTGGCTTGTGTTGGGCAATTGCGTGTAGACTGGGTCTCTGTATCTTGCCTGGCCAGTATGGGAGAAGCTCCCTTGCTGTGGGCGTGGCCAGCCTCAGGCTGTTGCTCTGCTATGGTGGGGCCCCGGAGGGGTAATGGATGGGGGGCTGTTTGGCTGTTTACCTCCGTGAGGGGTCTCAGAGCTGTTGCCCAGGGGGTTAGTGCGCCCGTAGTTCCCTGGAATTTCCAGCTGCTGGACTGTGACCCAGGATGCTTCCGTCCAGCTGTGGGGTCCCTGTCCCTTTAAGACTTTCAAAAAGCTCTTGCTTTTCTTTGTCACAGGGGCACCGGCTTCAGGACCCACTCAAAGGTCTTACTGTCCTGTTTCCCTAGTATCCAGCACCCCACACATTCACTGTGTCTGTGCTCTGGTGCAGATGGCTAGGGCTGGGTGTTTAGCAGTCCTGGGCTCCCTCTCCCGCCTGCTCCGACTCCTCTCCTCCCACCAGGAGCCTGGGGTGAGGGGCCTCGGGTCCCACCGGACTGCGGCTTGTATCTTACCCCTTTCACCAGGTGCTGGGCTCTCCCAGGTGTGGATGTAGTCTGGCTGTTGTCCTGTGTCTTCTGGTCTCTCTTTTAGGATTAGTTGTATTTGTTGTATTTTCTAAAGTATATATGTTTTTGGGAGGAGATTCCCACTGTCCTACTCACGCCACCATCTTGGCTCCGCCCCTCTCCTAAAATAAACTTTCTTAAAAAAAGATCAATACATCTCTTTTGATCCTACAGTTTAATAAATCAAACCAAATATAGATACCTTTGTGGATTTTTTCCCCTGGAGTTATTAACCAGAGACTTGGTTGTAGCTCTCCTCCCATCCTTAGGAATCACTGATACTGCAGAAGATAGAATCTCATTTATGCGTAGCCCATCTTTCATGAAGTTTTTGTTGGGCTTTGCTTTCATTAGTTTGTATTGTGAAAACAGCAGGGTTTTCCCTAAAAAATAAAGTTAAATATTCTTTTCTATACTACAGATGTTCCCCTTTCAAAACTTTTATACCTCAGTTTTGTTAAAATTCTGTCCCCATTTTCTCCACTGAGGAAACTCCTACTCTGTCTGATTCCTATGTCCTACAGTATTTTCTTCCTTGATTCACACTAGACAAGCTCTGCTCTTGGTTCCAAGACTTCAGGATACTGAGAAACCCAATTGAGGGGCATAGCCAGCTGCTCTCCTTCAGGTTGTGAATTACTTGTTTCCTTTGCCTCTTTTAGTCAGTGGTTCTCAATTTAGCATGCTCAAGAATCACCTGCAGAACTTAAGTACAATGTGCATTTATAGTTCTTGGCTCTAAAGCCTTTTCAACAAGCACCCCATAGGCTTCTGATGTCAGTATTCCTTGTGTCTGCAGCTAGTACAGCAGGATTAAATGGCTTCTCTGCTGTACACCCTGTGCTAACTACACCATATATGTAACTTCATTTAAGTATCCAACATCCACTGGCTGTTATAACCCTGATTTTATGGAAAAGGAGACTGGGGCTCAAAGAGGCTAGGTTGAATTTCCTATTTAATTGAATTGCCTTGTTAAAGCCATGTTGTTTATTGCTTCCACCCAACCCTAGTGAAGGGTTTGGTAGAAAGAAAAGGTGGGTCTAGAATGTGTTGGTGAAAATTGGTTGCTTAGTTTATCTTATTCAACAAATATTAATGTTCCATGTGGCAGGCACTGTGGAGGCTATGGGGATACAGGGTAAATAGGATGGACAGAGTCCCTGCTATAATGAAGATAATCTCCTATCACAGGAACTGTATATAAAGCAAAAATTACATAAGCACAGACTATTATACTTCTAATTGGTATCATTTATTTATTTACTTAGAAGTATAGTTGATTACATTATACTGGTTTTGTGTGGGGAGGGAAAATTGAAGTTCCTATGTCCAGGATCCTCACCTGACCCTAAACTACTTGATGATGTAACTGGCCTGCCACTAGGCTACTGCTTCCACACCCATAGGCAATAAGCTATTATTGACAGAGACACTATATAAAGAGCTCTGCCCAGTGCTCTCGGTGGAAGCAGAGAGGAAGGAGGATTATAGACCTGCAGACTGCTGGGTGCAGACATGATTCTAGTGTTCAACCAACCTCTGGAGAATAAAGCTGAGTATAAACCCTTTTACCCAAGAACATTCCATTGTCATTTCTCAGTCTCACTGAATCCATAGTGGATCTGCCCAGGGCTGAAACCCTCAGGCAAGATAGGTGTACAACATAGTGATTCAGTAATTATATATATATACTGCAAAATACTCACCATTGTAACTGCAGTTACCAGTGTCACCATACAAAGATATAATATTATTGACTATATTCTCTAGGCTGTACTTTTCATCCCAATGACTAATTAGTGTTATTTATTTCTCCTGTGTTCCTAGGTCTCAATTTCTCATCCAGTCTTGGGTCAACTGACTGATGATAATTAATAGAATCCATAATGATGAACTCAAAAGTCCTTATTTTTTTCTTAATAGTGAAAATACGCTGCACATTCCTGAGGCCACTGAAAATTAGAACATGAGGCTGCTTGGCTTAAGAAAAGACAGTCAGACTCTGGGTGTTTTGAGTCCAAGATTTTTAGTGATAGTGTCACCACGAAGTATCTGTGGGAATGCGGGCAAGTCTCTCACCCATCCTGAGCCTTAGTGTTCTTGTATAAAATAAGCGAGTTGTTGTATGTCTCTGAGGTCGCTTCATGCTTGGGGTGTCTCTGAGTCTCTGATGAACTGAGATACGGGTAAAAGGGGCTATAGGAACAGAGGCCAAGACCAGGCCTGGCCCCTGATTGTATATGTCTCCTGCAGGAACACCATGCTGAGCCTTTGCCTTGAGAATGCAGAGCTGAAAGAGCAGATGGGAGAAGCAATGTCTGATGGATGGGAAATTGAGGAAGACAAGGAGAAGGGCGAGGTGATGGCTGAAGCTACGGGAGCCAAAGGGGGTCTGAATGAGAACGGCCTTCAGGCTGAGTTCAGAAACCTCCAGGGAAAACTGAAGAATGCCCACAACATCATCAACCTCCTCAAAGAACAGCTGGTGCTGAGCAGCAAGGAAGGGAATAGTAGACTTAGCCCAGAGCTCCTTAGGCACCTGGCCAGGGAGATTGACAGAATGAACACAGAGCTCGTTTGTTCTGGGAAGCGCCAGAGCCGAGAGGGGGACGATGTGACCACGAGGCCCCACGCCAGGCCCCGGAGCCTCAACCCGGGGTCTGCCCTCACAGTGGATGCCCACCAAGGAAGGGTGAGCTTAGGCGGAATCCAGGACCCTTGGAGAAGGGCTGGAGACGTCAGCTTTTACCTTAGAGAGTTCTGCCCTGTGGGTCAGAACATACCAGGGTGGGGGCACCTTTGCATTACAAGCAGTGGTATTAATATTCCTCGCACATTCAACCTTCATAAAGGCTTTTACAATGTCATCTCATAAATACTGTGTAATTAATTTTCTATAAATATTTCTCAAGTGCCTAATTTTCCAGATAACATGCTAGGCCTTGGCAGCAGGCAAAAAAGAGCTGGTCTCAGCCCGTCAGGTACTCAGTATGATGGGAAAAGCCGGCACAAAAACATCATTTCAATAGGATGAGGTATCGGGAGGCAGGGAGTTATAAGACAGCCCAGACATGTGGTACATTATGACATCTCTTCCTAATCCCTGCCGTTTTTGTCAGAGCTTATCAAAGCACCTGTCCCTGAGCCTCAGAGGGGTTGTCAGGACCCTCCAATGGGAAGGGGCTTTGCTGAGGAGTAAGCAGTGGAGAATGCAGAGGATTCTGAGAGGACAGTGAGGGCAAGAGCATAGGGGGAACAAATACTGAACAAATACGCACTGGGAGCTCCTCCGCAGACTTGATTGGCTATGCTATGTGCTTTAGGTAGAGAGGTGAATAAACCACTGCCCCAGCTCTCCGGGAGCTGTATCTGAAAAGCAAGTAACTGCCAAATGGCATTAGGAGTGCTGTGACAGACACATGAATAAAGCCCCAGGGCCTAGGTGGGGAGGTGGTCACCGCTGCGTGGGGAGTGCCCTCAGCCTGCCCTGATCCTGTGCTGGCTCTCTCCACAGCTGGCTAGCCAGCCCCAGCCCCAGGACCCTGGGCCTCATGCAGAATTTAGCCTGGCGGGACCCACCAAGCAGCTGCGCTCCCAGCTGGCACAGTGCAGACAATGCTACCAAGATCTCCAGGAGAAGCTGCTGATCTCAGAAGCCACTGTCTTTGCCCAGGCCAACCAGCTGAAGAAATACAGAGTCATGTTCGGTTAGTCTTCAGGTGGCCTGGCCCAGTGTCTGTTCTCTCCCCGAGAGTTCCATGCTTTGTGGACGTCACTTTTCTTTCCCAGCCTCAAAACAAATTAAGTCCTGACCACTGTCCTAGACCTGTGGCGCTGGGTACATAATTTCAATTTACAGATGGCAGAGAAGAGAATAAGGGAACAAAGTAAATTTGCAGTGTGAGTATAGCAAGGAAATGGGCTAACATCTAGGGTTGCTGATTTCTGGTATTGTCAACAAGCTGCCCTCTATGGACATAACTAATTGTTTCTCTTTGTACCATATCAGATTCTTCAAAAGATATATCATCATTGGTCTAGAATCAGCACTGTCTAATAGAACTTCCTGCAGTGCTGGAAATGTTCATTTTCAACATCACATGTGGTTATGGAGCAAATGAAATGTGGCTTGTTCAGCTAGAGAATTTTAAGTTTTACTTACTTTTAATTAATATGAAGTAGTCACATGTGGCTAGTAGCTACCTTTTCAGACACTCAGATCCGGATGTCTTGGTAATCTAAATTAATTCAGCTCATTCAGGTATTTCCTGAACCTCTGTGGACAAAGCACTTTTTCACTGGGGCTTCTGGAGATGATGGTACACATGCCTGACTCCTCTGGTCCCAGTGAAGCCTAGGTGACCTGTAGGCGAGATCTTTAGTGGCAAACAGGTTCATCCTGATGGAAGTTGCCTCCTGGAGCAGGTGGTCTGTTCTCCCACGTGTCCAAAGAAGCCTCTTTCCCACTTTTGGTCTGACCTTCCTGCTGGACAATTCAGATCCTCTTTAACCACTTCTGTCTCTTCCTGTGCAGGAGAATCCTTGGTGAAGCAAGACAACAAGCAAGTGCAGGTGGATCTCCAGGATCTGGGCTATGAGACTTGTGGCCGCAGTGAGAATGAGGCTGAGCGGGAGGAGAGCACCAGCCCGGGTGAGAGCACGAGTGTGGGGCCCACCTGCCCTCCCTGGAGTCCACCTCGCACTCCGGTGGTGTTGGCGAGTCGCACACCTGATGAGGAGGAGGGCTGAGGGGGTCTTGTGAAGGAAAGGGACGTGGGACCAGAGAGACAGGAAGTTTGGAGACGCCTTTCACCCAAAGTGAGGCCGAGTTTGCATTTCTGTAGTTCATTTTCAGCACACTGCTGTTAAGGAAAAGAAAAGTTCTATGCAACTGATTATTATAGAAGAGACTAGCCCTTACTATTAATGAGACCAGAGGCACTTTTGGGGTTGTGCGAACCACAAGTTAAAAAAACTTTTTCCATTGCAAAAGGCCAATGATCGTAGGGATACCCACCAAACTGAAATCTAGAAGAGGAGAGAAACACTGAGTAAAATAAAAGGTGACCACACCTGACTTGCAGGGCTGTATTCGAATGCTAGTACAGTGCCAGGGATGAAGAAAGGACTGCCTCAATGTTTGCTCTAGAATTATGGTCCTTGAGACCAAACCTGCCTCCCATTGAAAGGAGGGGCTACAGCATGCCCAGCTTTATGCAGGAAGATGTCTCTGTCTTTTCTCAGAGTGTGAAGAGCATGACAGCCTCAGAGAAACAGTCCTGATGGAGAGACTGAGCTCTGAGCAGGAACACCTGGGCTCAACACTGGCCAGTCCCCCTGAGAAGAAGCCCCTGGAGAACCCAGTGGGGAAGCTGGAGAAGCTCCAGGCATATGGAAAGTCGGGAGACATCTCTCTCCTACATAAGGACATCAAAGATCTGAAGGCCCAGCTACAGAACGCCAATAAGATCATTCAAAACCTCAAGAGCCGGGTCCGGTCCCTGTCGGTCACAAGTGATTATTCATCTAGTCTGGAGAGACCACGAAAGCTGAAGGCCATTGGCACCCTTGAGGGATCCTCACCTCATAGTGTCACTGATGAGGATGAAGGGTGGCTGTCTGATGGCACTGGGGCCTTCTACCCACCGAAGCTTCAGGCTGAAAAGGATCTGGAGATTCTGACCCAGAGAGTGTCCCGGCTAGAGGCCCAGCTCCCAAAAACTGGACTGGAAGGGAAGCTGGCTGAGGAGCTGCGATCAGCCTCGTGGCCTGGGTAAGGAGGGCACTCTTTGGACCCTTACTTGGTTGATGACCTTTGAAGTAGGGTAGCTCAAGCATGTAGAAAAGAAAACCCATCAGGGAAATCAGAAGAGCACTTATTTAAATGGTAGAACTTGATCTGAAGAAAGGACAGGTGGGCCCTGCAGAGAGATAGTAGGTCTCCCAAGTTCCCCCTTAGGAATCTATGGGTGAAGTGACAGGCCATATGGCAAGAATGCATAGGCTTGAATCACAGCACTGGCACTTACTAGCTGTGCAGCCTACTTAGTCTTTCTGAGCCTATTTCCTCACATAGTAAATGAAGATAATAAGAGAACCTATCTCAGAGGGTGGTGTAGATTTAAATTAATTAATACAAATGTTTCTAGTAATGTCTAACATATATTAAGCTCTCAGTACTATTTACCACCATTATTACTGTTCCTGACACTCTGTGTTAAAAAGCACTGGGTAGGCTTTGGTCTCTGTATCCATCCCAGGTATCTGTGCTGAGTAACAAACTGCCCCAAAGCTTAGTGCTTCACACTATAGTGTATGTGGACTGACTGAGCTTAGCTGGGTGGCTCTCACCTGGGTGGGCTCACGCAGCTGCCATCAGATAGTGACTAGGGCTGGAATCAACAGCATGGCTGGGCCAGGCACAGCATCTGCATTCACCTGTCTAGTGGTGTGGTACTCCTCGGCTTCTCCCTTTCTCCATGTGGCTTCTTGTTTTCCAGGGCCTCTGCTCCTGCCTTGGGCCCCTCATAGAATGGTGGTCTCAGAGTAGTTCCACTTCTACATGGCAGCTGACTCCCAAGAGACAGAGAGAGGAGGTTGCCTGGCCAGTTAAGAGATACTCCTGAACTTGGCACAGCGTCATTTCCACTATATTAACTTGGTCAAAGTGGTCACAGAGCACCCCCAAGAGTTAAAGAGGTGGAGATTAGCCTCTGCATGATGGTGAAAGAGGGGCAAAGCCATATTGCACAAGAGCATGTGGAGTAGGAGCCTGTATAAAAGAGAGATGGTCTTTGAAATAGATGACAGGAAAGGTCCTATCCAGATTTAGGATTAAGTGGTTCTAATCACTTAATTTATGTTTAGTATGTATTGAGTGCATTTGCTCAATAAATATGTTAGTATATTGAGTATCAACTGTTGAGTCTACACTGTACAGGTGCTATAAGGGGTATAAAATATGGTGCTGTATTTATCACCACAGAACTTATGAGTCATGTCTGGGCATGTGACTAATGTATGTAGAACGGTGGCATACTAAACCGTTTGATGGAATAATCTCTCAAAGCAGAAATACCTCCTTTGGTGTATGTGCCAGAATTCAGCTTAGGGGCGTTTGTACGGATGTTCTCACAGAAATTTCTACAGAGGACCCATAACTTAATACTGTTTTTCATTCTTACTCTTTGCTTTTCTTTCCTGCATTAGGAAATATGATTCCCTGATTCAAGATCAGGCCCGAGAACTATCCTACCTACGCCAGAAAATACGAGAAGGGAGAGGTATCTGTTATCTTCTCACACAGCATGCAAAAGATACAGTAAAGTCTTTTGAGGATCTCCTAAGGAGCAATGACATTGACTACTACCTGGGGCAGAGCTTCCGGGAGCAGCTTGCCCAGGGAAGCCAGCTGATAGAGAGGCTCGCCAGCAAACTCAGCGCCAGTAAGTTGGCCCCAGGGCTCTGGGATACTCTGTCACTCCCCCAGCCCCAGGTCCACGTAGCTGGCTGCCTCCACCGCAGCCTTTTAACCCAGGACCTGCTTCCACTTCATTTCCTGGGGGGCCGTCCGGGATCAGCCTGCCCAGTGCGAGCACTGAGGAGGGGCACATGGGTTGGAGAGGCCACAGTTACAACTGTAGGAACGTCAGCACACAAGGAGTGCAGCCTTCAGGAAAGCAGGCTGCAGCCACCCAGCACTGAGGGGGAGACAGGGAGAAAAGATAGCAGAACCTCACTATAGTGGAAAGAATCCTGAGTTGAGAATTGCAGGACCCAAGCTCTAGCTTGGATGTTGCCATTAACTTGCTTTGGGAAGATGGCTTGTCCTTTGGGGACCTCTGTTTCTTCATTTATTATATGAGTGTAATTCAAATATGGATAAAGCCCCAGGCCTCTTTGGACATAGTTCAGGCACTGAATGTCATAGTACAAGTACTAGGGTTGTTGGTTATTATTGGATCCCTTTACTTAGAGAATCTCCTGAGCATGCCCGAGGGGGGACAACAGGATCAGTCTTGGTGGCAGAGGCAGAAGTAGGGCAGCACTATTTGTCATCTCCTCAGAACAAGAACAGGTTCTGCACAAAAGCTGTGATGGGATGCCAAGAGGTGCATCAGAGAGTCAGTCTGTGAAAGGCTCAGAGGCTGGGCTGTCCCAGAAGGAAGCTGGGCAAGTGCCATTTGAACTCTTTTGCATTGATTTAAGGCAGAGGAAATCATGCTGGTGATCGCCAGGTCAGGGAGGGTCTGCCCAGTGAGCTCCAGAGAGCCTGCAGGTCTCCTTTCTAAAGACAACAATCTGAGGCCTCCCAGAATAATTATCCCACCTGTCCTGGACACACTTAGAGTAGTCACTATTCTGTACCCAAATAGGCTTTTATAATGGGTGAAGTGGGACCTGTTTAATTTCTTATCGTTTCTCTCTGAATTTGGTCTGCAGAGGATCATAAAAGTGAGACAAATCAAGCTGGACCTGAGCCGCTGGCCCTCAGGTAATGCAAAATAGAATCTGAGAAAGGAATCAGGAACCAGGCCCAAGGGGTCAAGGGTTGCCAGGATTACACAGATCAAGGAGGAAAAAAGGAAAATGCTGATTGTAATGAATTCATTTATTCACGGAACACCTTACTGTGCTTTTAGCCTAATTCTTTACTCTCTTTTAATATAATTCTACTAATTTCTATTCACATACTTATTCTCCAGGATCAGTAACCTAGAGTCAGTCTGACCTAAAAGTAAACCAAGCAGGATTCAGGGATCCTTGGCAACCTCCAAGGTTCTCCTCTGCCTTCCCCGTGTATATTTAAAGACCAGGGTGTACTCTCTGCCAAGTTGGCTTACCCTGAGTTGAGTTGGAAGCTAGTTTAATAGCCAGCCAATTACCTTGGGTGAAAAAAGGAGCATATTACAAATAATAGCAATTGCTCTTCATGAATAATTACTAGTGAGTTACTTCTAGTAAGCAATTACCAGCACTATTCCTAGTGAAAAAGGCCTAGATGTTGCAGGTACCTGGGAAGCTACAGCACCTTAAAAGCCAGATTTTAATGAGTCACTGCATATAATCTTAAAATATGTGATAAAATCTGGTCTCAGAGTCCACTGTAGTCACAAATTTGAGCCCCTTTGTTTCACGAGTGTGCTGTAGACCACATTGTGCTTCTCAGAATAACTGGTGAAGGACAGAGCGTTTTGTTTTTGTTTTCATTTCTAACCCATCACAGACACATATATGTTCTCTGCCTCAGTCAACCAGAGGATTCCACTTACCATGCTCTTGGATGTTGTGGTCATGCTAAACTGTTCTATGTTTCTCAGTGTTTACCCTCAATTTCCATACCTATCTTGCTGGTGACCAGCAGTGCTCTAACTACAGCTGTACTTCAAGCAGCAGTGCCTTAGAGGGCTAGCTGAGTTTCCACTGTGCCTCTGCATATCATGTGGCCAGGGCACTGAGTAGCTATCACTCCTCCTTCCTCTGCATCTCACCTACTCTCCACACCTAATCAGAGATAGTTTATTTCAATTATTCTTTACAGGAATGGTCCCCTTGACTTACATGGCTTTTCCCATTGCCTGAGTCAGGGCTAGCTGGTCCAGCGAGCTTGGTTTCACCTGTTGTCCTCCTTCATGCTTCTAGGCTCAGCAGGGAGCTGCAGGAGAAGGAGAAAGTGATCGAACTCCTGCAGGCCAAGCTGGATGCCCGGTCCCTCACACCCTGCAGCAGCCATGCCTTGTCTGACTGCCATCGCTCCCCCAGCAGCTCCTCCTTCCTGTCTGACGAGCTAGAAGCCTGCTCTGACATGGACGTAGCCAGCGAATACACACACTATGAGGAGAAGAAAGCTTCACTGGGCCACTCAGGTAGCCTCCACTTTCTGGGTGGTACCACCTCTATCTCAGCTGAGAGGAGACTTCCACAACCAGGCCTAAGATCCACCTTGTGTGTATCAGGCTGAACTTGGCTCTGGGGCTAAGGGTCAAGCACAAGCCCCAGTGGGTCAGGACCTTTGTTCTGCCTCTGACTCTAGAAGTTACCCCTGTCACCAGGTCTCCTCCAGCAGGTGAAACCTGTTGGACCCAATGTGAGCTGTAGGAGGGAGAGGGCAATCACAGCAGACTTCTTTCCCCACTATTCATAAGCATAGAATCTGCCTGACTGACTGACCTCCTCCTTTGAAATGGGACAGCTTATCCCACCTGCAGTGGTCGTGGCCAGTTGCACCTCCGGAACAGGGTCCCCTGGCATCCATGGCTGTTGTATCCAGCCAGATGCTGCTGGTTTTGCCTGGTGTTTTTAGAGGTGCTGTTTTCATGGGTTCAGGGCTCTGAGCCCCACTGTCCCCTGTAAGGTGGCTTTCCTCACTGAAGGAGCTCTCCGCAAGCAAGGAAGTGAATACTCACATGCTTGTGCTTGGCACTTTCCCTGAAAGCAAGTCTCCGCCCTGGTACCCCGGGTTAAATATACGGCCAGGGGCCAGTTCTTCGCAGAACACCAAACATTTTCTTTCATTCATGGGTTTTGTAGATTGCATCCACCATTCCAGTCCTTCTGCTGTACTGTCTTCTAAACCATCAGCAGCTCAGGGGGTTAAGGCCGAACCCAGCAGCAACCTCATCAGCTTGCCATCTCCCCAGAACCCCCCCCAAGAGGCCAGCCAGGCCCTTCCAGGTACGCAGCAGCCAGTGGGCAGGGGCTTCATCTCCTTCCCTCAGCTGTTTGTTTGACTGTTCTTTGGGAATGTATGTTTATACTGTTAGGGGCTTACATGCATCCAGTCCAAGACAAAGTCAAGAGACGGTCCTAATTTGCTAATTGTGTCAACTTTTCTTTGTTTTAACTGTTTTAGAAAAACGAGAAATCTACAATAGACTTTTATGTGCATACCTATATTGACCAGTAGTAGGCTAATCATTTTAAAGTAAACATTTTCATTTCTTTCTCTCATTCTGCTCTGGGGAGCAAACAGGCAAGAGTGTCTCTCCCAGGATCATAGCAGCCAGAGAATAGAAAGAAACTAACATTTACTGCTCCCAAACACACATTACCTTCTTTCCTGCACAGTGGGCCTCCGCAGTGTGTGCGGCTGTGCACTTCCTGGCTGACGATGCTTCAGTATCCTCAGTAGGAGTCTATCCATATTATATTCTCATTCATGGGTTTATTAATGGGTTGGCAGGCCTTGATACACACCTGGTGTGAATCCTGGGGCCACCCAGAGGCATACAGTTCATTTCCCTGCCTCAGCCTAGTTACCAGGGTGTGCTGTTCAATCGATGCTCCACACCAGTGATGGCAGTGGGAGGGCAAACCTTGTCCTTGCATTCTAGCCTCCACCACAGCGGCTGCCTGCCTCCAGTGTGGGGTGTGGGGAGACCAGACTCCTGCAGACATGCTCCCAGAAAGCACAGTGCTTTCCTTCTGCTGCCCCCATCTCTCCTGAGAATGGTCACCCCAAATCTGAAGGAAGAGGATGTGACTCCTCCGGAGCCTTGCCTTACACCTTCTGGGCCAGAGTGGGCAGCTGCTGGGCCAGAAAGCCGTGGGGAGGGAGGGCTGCTTACAGAGCACTGTAGACATCTGCATAAATACTTTGGGGTCAAACAGAGCAGAAGGCCAAGGATTTTAAAGTGACAGTGCTCCTCAAAGGATGCCTGGACTATGTCATTTGACAATTTCGCTCTTTGCAGTTCTGTTCTGGTACCATGTTAGCATCCTGCAGCAAGGGGTGTGTTTGGGAATGTAATCATTTTCTTTCACGTGAGATATTTTCCACGGGTCAGTTTTGGTTTCTGCTATCTCCATGGACTACCTGCCGTGTAACTCTTTTTAGGAAAGAGGACAGAGATTCAAACATCAGAACATCCCAGAGTTCCTAAAGACCTACTATAGATGGGCTGCACATGGTCATCTGTGAAGATTTTTTTAAATGTACATTTCCAAGCCTTACTCCCAGAGTTTATGATTCAGGTCTGCATTAGGGCCTGAATAATCTGCATGTATTAAGAATTTTTGCCAATTGATTCAAATGCCCAGATTTTAAGCTATTGTGTCTAAGTCAATTTACTAAACCTCTCTTTTTCATTTGGTGAATGAACAAATTGGTTTGGGATTCTGATGTTTGTTTCCATCAGAGCCTTGGATTGCATATATTAGTCATGCACATTTGCCCCAGCCCTGGCCCACTCCTGCCCTCCTCAGCATGAGCCCTGGTGCTTTCAGAAGAGGAGTTCTAGATGTAGGGAGAGTCTTGTCACAGGGGCAAGGACTGGCACATACTGGCATATACCAGGGGCCCTTGGCAGCATTCAGGCACAGCCATCCTGATCTGTTCATGCTGGAATGGCTCAGATGGGGCTCTGCCAGCTTCCAGAGTTACCGTTATGCCACCTTGCCTTCTCTAGCTAATTGTTTTCAAGATGAGTATAGAATATGCATGCAGGAGAGCCCTGGCATGAAGAAGGAGGAGGGTCAGTCAGGCCAGCCTCTAGGGTAGCAGTGCCCACCCTTGGCCTTGGGCTTGGCACTGATCACCCTTAGCCATCTCAGACGGAGCCACATTGAATGATAGCCACTCCCCAAGGAGATACCTGGTCAGGGAGTAGTTTCATCTGCTCAATTTTCTACCCATTCCTTTCTCTCACTTCCTATAATGATGTGTCTCCTTTCTCCCTAACTTTCTATTTCTAGGCCTTCATTTTCCCTCCATACCCACGCTGGTTAGCCTCCCCCAGGCACCACTACCCTCAGCTCCACCCAGCTTCCTGCCTTTCAGCTCCACTGGTCCTCCCCGCCTTGGCTGCTGTGAGACACCCATGGTCTCCCTGGCGGAGGCTCAGCAGGAGCTGCAGATGCTGCAGAAGCAGTTGGGAGAAAGTGAGCACCACCTGCTGCTTTTGTGTGCTTGAGAGTGGCAGCCCCACCCTGTGGGGCTCTGCATGGCTTTGGCTTGATGGCGGAGTTTTAGAAGAACAACATAGGGGTACATGTTACCAGTGGATGACTGAGGGATAGCTCTGCTTGCTTTTTTTGGAAATGTACTTGCTGTTATCTTTCCGGTGTGTGTGTCTTATCAGTTAACAGGAACATATGTGCATCAGGTCCTAGGCCTGGTCCTCTCCCACTGCTGATGGTGTGCGGTACCACCAGGCATGCTGAAGCCCTGCCACTGGGGGCAGGTTGATTGGCAGGACATGGAAGAGAGCTCTGTGCCTTGCCTCTGCAAGATGAAGTGACCATGAAAAAGGTTCAATGGGGTCCTCACAGGGCTATTAGAGCCTCTTGCTGTGACATGCTCTTAATAGAGTTCAGATCCAGACATCAGCAGGTTGGAGGCAAAAAGGGTGGTGGTAGAGGAATTCAGAAGTGATGACAGAGCCCTTCTTCCTATTGTACAAGGTTTATTTCTACCCCAAGACAGGTGACGTGTGGGCTGCTAGAACCAGAGAAGCACAGGCTGTGATGTTTGATTATGATGTCTTTCCTCTCACTCCCAGAGATAATTGATCTTATGTAGTCACAGAATTCATAGACCATGTACAGTATTTTTTAGAAAAGGGGTTGGTGTAGGTAGGGGCTGGATTCCTCATCATATTAAATTGTGTGTGATCACTTATAGTTCAGAAGAAAAAATAAAAACTTCACATGATGAATTTGCTCTCTAATAGTATTTAAGAAAACCTGGAAAGCAATTTGAAATTACCTAAAAACCACATTCTGTGTCTGTAAAGAAGCTCAGGTGAGCCAGAGATTAGGGTAAGGGTCACCATGCAAAGATGATTAAACACATTACTGCATTAATCCAGTGACCTGAAACCACACCCCAGAAGTTGTACACCTGAAACCCCAAATGTCATACACCTGAAACCCCAAATGTCATTTACACCAGCTCATTTCTTTTGTCAACCCTGAAAATTAATACAATGTCTACTCACCACCAGTTTGATGTCCAGAACCAACCAGACTAAGACCATTTTTAGGAGAGTTTGTACATCTTTCTGCAGGCAGTGAAATGTTAGAGGCTACCTTCTGCGTATCAGCTTTACCCGGGTACAACAATCTAGGCTTGCTCAGGAACATGAACCTGGTCTTATCTGCACCTCACATAACTTTCATGGTAGGTAGAGCCAGAGCAGGGCACTGAGGCTTGGGGAAGTCAAGCTACTTGCTCAAGGTTGCTAGTAAGGGGGAGAGATGGGCTTGAATCCTGGTTTTCTGCTCCCAGTTCCATGTTTCCATTATACCTTCCGCCTAGGATGGTTTTGTTACCATTCTGTTCAGAGCATGGAGCTGAGCTAAGCTGCACAAATTCTATAGGCCCCTTGCAACCATCTTTTTATTTCTCCCTACAGCTCAGTGGAAGGTGCTGGTGTATCTGGCCTAGAACTGGTTGCTTCAGAAGCTCTGGAACCAAAAGTTGATGATAATAAATGTGTCCTATACCTAAATGGCAAGGGTGTTCTCACTTTTAGCTTACTTTTCCTTTCCTTCCCCTTCCACATTTGTCCAAAGGGGAACATGGAAGGAGAGCACTGTGCTTGAAAAGGGGTCTGTTGATGTGGGTGGAACTCATATCTAGTCTGTGCCATTGGCCAGAATTTGGATTTCCCAGCCTTAGTGGGAAGAGTGCGGTGCTTTTTCTTCCCTCCTGAAGTGTGGTCCTCTCTGAGGGACCAGAGCTTACCAGCCAGTGATCCTTATTTGCTTCGCACTCAGCTTCCACATGGACAGTGGTGCATGGTGGCTTCCCAGGTCACTGTGAGGCTGAAATCTGCTTGTGCAGGAGTCCGTCTGGCATCTTTGCCTGGTTTAGGGCATGTGCTCTGCCGTGTGGCCAAGGGAGACCAGAACATGAGGACACTGATCACTGTTACTGATAGACTTGGAACCTCCTATGACCTTGGTTAAAAGCAAGTTGACTGTCAACAACCACTGATTTCCCCCTTTGTCCTGTGCTGGGGTGAGTTGAAGAGGGTGTGAAGAAAGTAGGAAATCACATCATCTTTATTGAATCCAAACTAAAATTTCCGTGCTGACATTTTTCATCGTCCTCTTTAACTCCTAGCAATCCTAATGAATATCTAGTATTTTGCAAACTGGGGAAGGAGAGACCCATACAATACTTTTCAAACGTTGCTGCCTATTAGAATCACCTGGGATGATTTTAAGACATCCAGTGCTCAAGTTATACCCCAAACTAATTAAGGCATGTCCAGGCATCATTGTCCCAGGTGGTTCCAATAGCCAAATTTGGGAACCCTTGCAAATGGACTGGGGTCATTGCTTTGACCCCTCAAAGCAGTTTGGCTGGGCTGGAGGAAATGAGGACCCCAGTCCTGTTTGCTGAGGTGAGGCTCCCTGTTCACCCCACTGCCCATGTTAATAACGCCTGAAGGAAGGCACCACTCTGAATGTGAATATCCTAAATATAGCTCCCCTCTTTCTGTCTCTCCCCCAACCTGGGCTTCTTCTCAGATGAGAAGCAGAGGTGATGGGGCTCAGTGGCAAGCCTAAGGTCTGTGAAAGCACCAGCCTATGAAATGAAAGGTCTTACTTCCTCCATGGAAGAGTGTCCAATGACTCTTTAGACAGGGTGGTGACATTTTGTGGTTACTTGAATCATGTTGGGGGAGGTCCAAATCACTACCTGGCTTACACAGAACTTCCCTCAGCCTCAGCGAGTTTTTCAGTCTAGAGGAGTTGGGGATGCCATGGCTAGCTGGATTTCATGTCTCCTGTTTCCTCTGAAGACCCCAAAGGAGAAGAGGAAAGACTGGCTAGTTAGTTTCTGGGGAAGGCAAGTCCTCAGGGCAAACAAGTATTCCTGTTCACAGGAGGGCCCAGTGCTGTACCCCATTATATACTCTTGACACTGACTCTGGGGGTGAGTCTACTTCTGGATCTTCCTTGGACTCTGTCATGAGGGATCATAGTAGGAACCAGGAGCAGGGTCGCTGGACTCTTCTTTTATATAACATGTGATTCTCAGATACTTTATCCATCGTCTGCTTCTTGTTTTCATGCTAGCAAATGTATGGGGTGAACATTATAGCGTTTAGGTTAGGAGCCTTCATCTGACCGGTCATCTGCAGAGGGCTGGAACCCACTTGTCCCCTGTAGTGTCTGTTCTTAGCAGTCACACACTTCCTTGCTGACCCTTCCCTTCTGATATCTGTGTCTCACTCACATTTCTTCCTGCCCAGGTGTCAGCACTGTCCATCCTGCTTCCCCAGCTGCACTGCTGACCAACCATTCAGAAGCCAGCTCTTCTCACTACCTCCACCCTCCCCAGCCCCACTGTCCTCCAAAGGGCCCCATGGAACTGGGAAGAATCCTGGAGCCTGGGTCCCTGGGCAGCAGTGACAAGTGGGACATGAGGAGGCCTCAGAAAGGGAGAGTATCTGGGGACCTAACCCCAGGCTCTTCTGTGTACCAGCTGAATTCCAAAGCCACAGGTAAAGCCCTGTGCTGAGCAGGTCAGTCTGTGAAATGAAACCTCCCTTAGAGTCCATCTCTCTCCTGTCTGGCCAGGGCTTGTCTGGCCAGGGCTTTTCTCATTCTTCCTCTGGTCCCTGGCTCACAGAATGGGGATGAAATGAAAGGGCCATGTCAGTGCTCAGCCCTTTCCAAGCGCATCTCATCAGCCTCCCTGACCAGGGACCAGGTGCTGTGCAGGAACATAGGAGAGTCAGGGACCCACCTCTGTGCCCTCACCTCCATGTCCTTCTCTCTCTCTCCCTACAGCCTGACCTGCTCACAGCCCACTCGTAGACCCCTCCAGAAGGCTAGGCACACATTTTCACAGGACACTCTCCCATCAGTCAGGAGTTGTTGGAGAAAGGGTGGCTATTTCTCCACAGCTCCCCACCCCCTACAATTATCCTGTGTACAAACAACTCAGCTTTTCCCCTCATGCCCAGCTCTCCATTCAGGGCCAAGAGGCATGGTGCCAGGTGGAGAGGCACTGGCATGCTGGTGAGTGTGGGAATGAGCTCAGTTCTGACCATGGATGGTTGGCCCTCCCAGAGAAAGCCAGCACCCTACAATGTGCAGGTACCATGGTCACCCATCAGTGGCCTCCCACTGCTCTTGTCTTCACTGCTGTTCTTGCCTTGTGGCTGCCTTTTCATCCTCTAGTTAGCCTTCGGTTCACCGTGTCAGGGCAGACTCTCCTGCCTTCCTTCCCTAGTAAAAGAAACTTGAGGAAAGCAGTCAGGAGAGTCACTAGCCACACGGGAGGAGTTTATGTTCCTGTACTTTGCCGTAAGTCTTCTCTCTCAGGGTGGAGGAGGAACTTTGTCTCTCCCTAAGAATGCCCAGTCAAGTATCTGTAAGAGGAAAGGTGTTAGCGCACGAGGCTTTCCTGGTACCTCTCAAAGTCACACTCAGGAGGTGGCCACCCCTTCCCAGATGCCAGGCTACAGTCCACGGCTGTCAGTTAGTTTTCTAAACCATGTGGAACTCTGTAACACCAGTTACACTGGTAACTGAACACTTGCACTTAGAACTCCCTTGCACTTACCCTCATATGGGAGGAGGCCCACAGGGCTTGCTTAGCATCAGGCCATCCTTTCATCTTATCCCCGCTCTGTGTTTGCACCCAGTTTGCTTGTTAAACAAGATTTGCCATGTTCTTGGTGCCCATGTGAGAGACTGCAGTTGGCAGAAGGATGGTGATGTCTTGGGATCTTGCCGAGAGGCCCCTGCACGTGGGCCCTGCTAGTGACCAGGATTCTGTCCCCCACCTCTCTCCTGTCCTGGCGGGATGGCTGCAGGGGCTGACCTGTTAGAAGAGCATCTTGGTGAAATCCGGAACCTGCGCCAGCGCCTGGAGGAGTCCATCTGCATCAATGACCGCCTGCGGGAGCAGCTGGAACACCGGCTCAGCTCCACTGCCCGCAGAGCCGGTAGGATAGGCCCAGCTTCCTACTTCTGCTCACAGTTGGGGAACTTCTGAAGGGAGGGCCCTTAAGCAGTTCTCAAAGCACCGTGGTATGCTTTAGTCTGCTGGTTCCTTGGAAACGTCCAGTGAGGTGGGAGTGAGGGTGCGGCAAGTACTTCTATCCTCACTTCATAGATGTATCTGAGCTCAGAGAAGAACTGTGCTCATGGCACAGCTAACAAGGTCTGGTCCCCAGAGTCATCTGATTTCTCATCCCTCCTTAGTCTGCTCACATACTGCCTGCTGACTTCTCTGTGCCCTCATCACATGATTAGCAAGTGGGAGAGCCAGGTTTGCAGAGCCCCTTCCTCAGCCACTTACCTAGGTGAGCTTTCTCCCCACGCTCTCCTCCCAGGCGGCTGTCACTTAGAGGCCATCTCATACACACAACCTTGTCCTGCCCACAGCAGTAGCAGCCATTTAGGGGAAAGAGGCTCCTGAACAACTGCAGCCAGGGCACATGATACTATGAGCACAGACCCTGCTGAAAGGAGGCACAAAAAACAGGCATTTGGTGCATCTGGTCCCTCAAGTCCCTGGGGTTCCTCTGGGTGGGACAGCATCTTTGGAGATTGACAATGGGTGATGTCTGAACACATCTCTTACCCAAATGTGTCACTTGTCTGCTGCACTTTCCGGAACAGGAACCACCTCTCACTTCTACAGTCCAGGCCTGGAGTCCACACCTCAGCTCCACAATGAGAACAGAGTCCTTAGGGAAGAAAACCGGAGCCTTCAAGCTCAGCTGAGTCACATTTCCAGAGGTAAGTAGTCAAAACCCACAAACTGTGGTCATTCCTGGGTTCCCTTCCTCCCTGGCCACACCAAACACCAACTGGAGGAGCAAGGAGAAAAAAGGTGGAGCCAACAGAGCTGCCCAGATCCACCAACCCTAAAGTCCCATAGCTGTTCTCAGTATAGAAAGAGGTACTTCCTGAGAGGAGTCAGCCATGGACCTCAGACAATCCTAGGCTTCAGGGGCAATTAGCTCTAAGAAACCTACCACTTCCACACAAACCCTCCTGCAGATATCCACACCCATTAGCCATCAAACTGGAGAGCAGTCAGGTGTCATCTGTTCTACCTCCTTCCAACTCACAGTTGATTTAGCACTCAGGAATGGATGGAACAGGGTGCTTCTACACCCTCAGTGTCTCCAGACTTCACTGCCACTTCTGATATACTTGCTGGTACTGACCTGCCATCCCCATATTGCCTCACCGCATCCCTGAACCATACACTCAGGGCTTCTCTCTGGTCAGCAGCCTGCAGGGCTCTGTGTCTGCAGGCACCAGCACAGTGTCCTCCAGAGCTCTCCCAGCTCTGTTTGGTGGGCATTCATGGGTGGCCTTCATTTCTTGTGTGTCCTGGGGTACAGCAGGTTTTTGTGTACTTTACCTGATCAAATCAATATATTATCAACAACATTATTTATAAATATTTATTGAGTAACTGTAAAAGACTAAGGTAATGTCTGAAAAGGTTAAGCCCAGAATGAAAGAATGCTTTTGAAAAAGGAAAAAGACATCAAGAGATATTTCTCAAGTAAAGGGAAAGATGGAATGGGAAGGCAAGGTGGAAACTTCTTGCCACGTACTACACACTAAGGAAGTAACTACAGCAATATGACTAGTCCCACAAATGACCTGAAGGCTGCAGAAAAGATCATCTACATTGGTGAAGAAGAAAAGACCACATTGAGAGGGTACAGTGACAAAGCCGTGATCGATCATGACCCAAGCCCTTGCTCCCTCCCAACCCATAAGCAGGAAGGGTAAGAATGGAGTGGGGGCAGGGCGTGGGGAATAAGTGGTCAGGAATCTTGTACACCTGGCCCTGGAGATCTGCTCTGGGAACATGAGTCCACATTGCACTGGGCTTTGGTGATTAATGAGCTGGACACCTCTGGGGGACCAAGACTTCTGTCACTTGTGGAGGACAAGCATACTCTACCATTCTGCCAAGACCCAACACTGAGGTGGAAGTTTGGAAGATTTACCAGAATTGGGAAGTGTGCCAGAGGGTGGGGCTTGGAGGGAGCTCTCTCAGAAGAAAAAAGGGCAGGTGGACGAGGCTCCCTCAGCCCTCCCTCAGCCGAACTGCTCACTCACAGCGCTCACAGGAGCCAGCTCCAAATGCTCCACCCCCCTTGCTGGCAGCTCAGCACTGTGGTGCACTTCCCTGTGCACCCTCTCTACCTGGACCACACAGTTCAGCCAGACTTTGCTGCCTGGCAGGCTGAAGAAGGGCACTTTCCAGCTTTCCTGGCTCTCCTTCAGCCCATATGGTTGGGCGCTCATGAAAGTCAGCTCCAAATGCTCCATCTCACTCAATATGGTGGCTCAGCCCCACTGCAGCACTCACCAGTGCACAACCCTCCCTGGCCCACTTGGCCCAGCAGTGTCTGTCTTTGTTAACCAGAAGGCAGAGGGTAGCTTCACCCACAATGAATCCCAGCAGAAGTGCCCAGTGCACAAAGGGCCTGCATAGGTGAGCTGTCAGCCTCTGTGGACAGAGATCAGCCACTACTAGTAGACAGGCAGAAAGGCAGTCCTGCCCACAGCCCACCAACAGCAACCTTGGCTCTACTGCAAAGAGAACCAGGCACTGGTGAGCAGAGCCTTGAGCTCCTGGGCACCATAGGATGCCTACTTCATAAAGCCATTACTTTCTAGACCAGGAGGCACAGCAGATCTAACACAGAGGAAGAAACACAGAAACCCAGTCACAATGAGGAGGCAGAGGAATATGTTTGAAACAAAAGAACAAGATAAGACACAGAAAAAGGGCTAAATGAAGTGGAGATTAACAATCTTCTTGATAAAGATTTCAAAGTAATGGTCATAAAAATGCTTACTGACCTGAGGAAAATAATTGTTGATCTCAGTGAGAACTTCCAACATAGAGAAAATTTGAAAAAGAACCACTTAGAGCTGAAGAATACAATAATTGAAATGAAAAATACAATGGAGGGAATGAATAGTAGACTTATGGAAGTAGAGAAAGAATCAATGAGGTGGAAAATAGAGAACAGAAAAACTCCCAAGCTGAGGAACAGAGAGAAAAAGAATTACTAAAAATGAGAAGATGGTAAAAGAGCTATGTGACAACTCCACATGAAACAATATTCACATAATAGTAGTCCCAGAAGGAGAAGAGAGAGACAAAGGAGTAGAAAGTCTCTTTGAAGAAATACTAGCTGAAAATTTCCCCAGTATGGGGAAGGAAATAGATACCTTGGTCCTGGAAGTGCCAAGATCCCCTAACAAAAGGAACCCCAGGAAGACAACATCAAGACATATAGTATTTCAAATGGCAAATTAATTAAAGATAAAGAGAGAATCTTAAAAGCAGTAAGAGAGAAGCAGAGAATTACCTATAAGGGACATTCCAAAAGGCTATCAGCAGATTTTTCAGCAGAAACTTTACAGGCCAGAGGAAGTGGCATGAAATATTTAATGTATTGAAACAGAAGGACCTACAACCAAGAATCCCCTACCTACCAAGGTTATCCTTCAGAATTGAAGGATAGATTATGTTTCCAAGATAAAGTTAGAAAGAATTCACCACCACTAAAACAGCCTTACAGGATATGTTAAAGAGACTTCTGTGAATGGAAATCTTAAGCCTAAATATCTTTCATCAGTGAAAACAAACCTACAATAAAGGTAGCAGACCAGTTAGTTACTAAGCAACTCCGAAGTAGAAGAGAAAGAAATAATAAAATCAACTATAGACAAAATCAGTCAAGGGATAAACAAAGACATAGATCATGACATATTATACATAAAGTGTAGTGGAGGAAGAAGAATAAAAGAGTAGTACTTTTCGATTATGCTCTAAATAGAGTGACTATCAGCTTAATATAGACTGTTATGTATTTAGGAAACAACCTATGAACATTATGTTAACCACAAATCAAAGTCTATAATATATACACAAAAAAATTTTAAAAAGGAATCTAAGCATAACACTAAAGGAAACCATCAAATCACAAAAGAAGAGTATAAGTCAAGAACTACAAACACAACCAGAAAACAATCAATAAAGTAGCAATAAGTACATACCTATCACTAATTACTTTAAATGTAAATGGACTGAATGCACCAATCAGAAGACATAGAGTGGCAGAATGGATAAAGAAACAAGGCCCCTCTATATGCTTCCTACAAGAGATTCATTTCAGACCTAAAGACATACATACACTAAAGGTGAAGGGAGGGAAAAAGATATTTCATGCAAATAAAAGTGAGAAAAGAGCAGGAGTAGCAGTACTTATATAAGGCAAAGTAGATTTCAAAGAAAGTAATGAGACAAAGGACATTACACAATGATAAAAGGATCAGTCCAACAAGAGGATATAACAATTGTAAATATCTAGGCACCTAACATTGGAGCACCTAAACATAGTAAAACAGATACTAACAGACCTACAGGGGGAAATAGACAGCAGCACAATCATACTAGGAGATTTTAACACCCCCCTTTACATCAATGGACAGATCATCCAGACAGAAAATAAATAAGGCAACAGAGGTGTTGAACATGTTAGACCAGGTGGACTTAACAGACACATACAGAATGTGCCACCCAAAAGCAGCAGGATACACATTTTTTCTCAAGTACAGATGAATGTTTTCCAGAAGAGATCACATATTATGACAGAAAAAGAGCCTCAATAAATTCAAGAAAATTGAAATTGTACCAAGTATCTTTTCAGGTCACAATGGTATGAAAACAGAAATCAATTACATGAAGAAAACAAGATCCCAAATACATGGAGACTAAACAACATACTTCTAAATAATGAATGGATCAATGAAAAAAATCAAAGAGAAAATCAAACAATACATGTTGACAAATTGAAACAGAACCACAATGGTTCAAAATGTGGGATGTCACTAAAGCAGTTCTGAGAGGGAAGTACATAGCAATACAGGCCTACCTCAAGGACTGAAAACAATCCCAGTCTAAACTCATAACTAAAGAAATTAGAAAAAGAAGAGCAGAAGAAACCCAAAGTTAGTAGAATGAAGGATATAATAAAGATCAGAGCAAAAATAAAACAGAATAATAAAACAATAGAAAAAAATCAATGAAACCAACAGCTGGCTCTTCGAGAAAATAAATAAAATAGACAAACATTTAGTCAGGCATAATAAGAAAAAAAAGACAAAAACAGCAGAAACAACAAAGAAGTTAAAACTGACACTACAGAAATACAAAAATTATTAGAGAATTCTATGAAAAATTATATGCCAGTAAATTGGACAACCTAGACGAAGTGGACAAATTCCTAGAAATATTCTATCTTCCAAGACTGACCCAGGAAGAAACAAAATCTGAACACATCAATTACAAGTAACCAAATTGAAATGATAACCAAAAAACTCCCAACAAACAAAAGTCCAGGACCAGAATACAATTTTTTCTATTAAGGTATTATTGATATATACTCTTATAAAGGTTTCAGATGAAAAAAAATGTGCTTACTAAATTCACCCATATTATGGAGTCCCCCACATACCCCATTGCAGTCACTGTCCATCAGTGTAGTAAGATGCCACAGAGTCACTACTTATCTTCTCTGTTTTACACTGTCTTCCCCATGACACCCCACACCATGTGTACCAATGATAATACCCCTCAATCCCCTTCTCCATCCCTCCCCACCTGCCCTTCCCCACCCCTCCCCTTTGGTAACCACTAGTCTGTTCTAGGAGTCTAGGAGTCTGTTGCTGTTTTGTTCCTTCAGTTTTGCTTC